CAGGTTCCTCCTCGAGTCCTGAAACATTGAGAAATCAGATCAGCTCCCGGCATGAGTGCAAATAGAAGAAATATGCATTGGAATAACTTAAAGGGTCACCTTGCTAAAAATCCTCTGTGATGGAGGCTTGAAGTCTCTACATCTCGTTCTGCAAGTCTTAGCCAGCTACGATTTACATTCCTGTTACTATACATTTAGCTGCAGGAGTGTGCATAGGGAAAAAGAATCCCAAACGATTGGTATTTTTAAAATCGTTACTGGCCTAGTAGTACTTAGAAGCCAACAGCTATTATAGTATGAGGTGTCTTAAAACAAGGCGATCCTAAAGTCGGACAGGTAACCTGGTGTGATTCCCAAGGGTGAAATCTAATTGGTAACATGCCCTCCCACGAGAGGCCTGAATGGTGAGGGGGCACGGCTGACAAGTCACATTACTCATGTCTGAAGAACGTGACACTCATCTCAGTTTGCGAGGGTTGAGTTATGAAGGCTGGGTTGTGAGGGTTAGCCTCAGAACTGAAGGTGATTAGTTGAGCTCGTCTCGGCTGAGGAGAGAGTGGACAGAACTCTTTATAGTATAAGGGAAGAGTCTGACACTGGGGAGTCACAAGGTGGGGTGTCAAACTAAGCTACAGTAAAAAAAAATTACTACTTTTATAAATAAAAAGTGAGCATAAGTTCCAGCATTAGGGGCAGAACTTTGTAGCTAGTTTCAGAATCATGAGCAGAACTCTGATGCAAGTTTCAGTCGCATGGACAGAACTTCTATATCGAGTTCCAACACCATAAGAAACTTCGTATCAAGTTTCGATCTCATGAGCAGAACTGTGTAGCAAGCCTCAGCACCATGGGCAAAACTTAATGGCAAGTTCCAACATCATGAGTTGAGATATAAAGCCTGCTCAGCACCAAGTGTGAATGTGGAAAGCAGGTTTAAGTGTTGGTATTGCGAGTCTTCAGGCATAGTTCAGTGCTGAGAGCTTGTGACAGGTTTGTATAGTGATGATATAATCAAGTGGGTTCAAATCCAACAGTGACGTGGAGAGGAGAGAGTAACAACATACACTTAATACTACTACTACAAATTAGGGGAGATGGAAAGGGAAAGGGGGGGCCAGGGAGGGTGAGGAGAACAACTCAGAAAATCATTACTAATTTCAAAATTTATAATACGACGTAGACAAGACAACGAGAAGAAAAACAACTACTCTATTTTTAATATTAAATGCCATTTTCAAAGAAACTATCGACACAAGCTTGAAAACAATTAGTAGAGATAAAGAAACACATAGTTGAAACATCTCAGATCAACCAGTTCAATATACACAAGTGACATTTTCTCATAACACTATAATCAACAACAAAAACACCAAAGGTGAAAAATAATATACACAAACACTGAGTTAAAACATCAGAAATAGAAACAAAACAGTTCGTGTGATACATAAAACTACGAAACTCTATGTAATATGCGGCTAGTAGCTATGAGGCGGCGCTGTCAGTTGCGGGTCACCACATGGAGAAGACTAGGACCAGGACTTGTCCTGGCAACCCCTAGATGAACATGTTACCAGGACGCCGTTCACCTAGAGTTATCTGGGTGTTGGAACGACTGTTGGTGACATCCTGGTGAGTTTTAATATATCCCAGCTAGGGTTGAGCTTTGAGATGAACTGAGACAAGATAAAGCAGCTCTTAGCCTGTATAAGTTGTATTGTGTAAAAACTAAGTGCGTCTGATAATAGGTAACACCTTTCCCAAAATGGTGGAACCGGTATGGTGATACCGAGGATATGTACGTAAGTTAGGTACTCACTGCTCAAGATTTTTACTAAGGAAGCGCTTCGCCATGTGTGATTTCTTCAGTCCTAATGCAGAGTAGATTAAACAGTGCATCTAATACCGGGTTTATAGAGTAACAAATTGGTAGTGGAGTTGGTGTGCGTGTGTGTGTGTGTGTGTACTCACCTAATTGTGGTTGCAGGGGTCGAGACTCAGCTCCTGGCCCGCCTCTTCACTGATCGCTACTAGGTCCTCTCTCTCCCTGCTCCATGTGTGTGTGTGTGTATGTGTGTGTGTATGTGTGTGTGTGTGTGTGTGTGTGTGTGTGTGTGTGTGTGTGTGTGTGTGTGTGTGTGTGTGTGTGTGTGTGTGGTGTGTGTTTATTCAGTGTTATAAAACCAACCATTAACAAGAGTTAATGTAAAATGAATAAAAAAATACAAAAAATTGTCGAGGCTGCAATGATCTATCAAGAAAAATATATCGTCGTATATGATCTAAATAATCGACCAAGAAACATCTATCTCAGTATATCATAATAATAAACAACGTCTATCAATACATGCTGTCAAGGATTATCTATCGGAATGTATCTATTAAGATAATTATTAAGATACAATTATCGAGATAGAAATCGCAATTACATAAAAAAAAATAAAACCAACACTGTGTCAAAAAATCAAATGTTATGAAATAATTCAGAAAAAAAAACAGGACAAACATGAAAATATTGGCCAAGATAAAAAAAAATATCAAAATAAAAATCCTTAGGATATAAACATATCAAAAATATTACATAAAAAATCTCGGTACAACTATATTTAAAACAAAATATAAAAATAACAATAATAAAAGAAATTACCAAGTATAACTATCACCACAAAATATATAAACAACTATGCTGATTATATATATATATATATATATATATATATATATATATATATATATATATATATATATATATATATATATATATATATATATATATATATATATATTATTATATATTGGATTACATATTACATAAAAATTTAAAAAAAGTATTGAAATTATGCCATTTTTTCCAGTCCTGTTCTAATGCCTTTTAAAGCTGGATGGATGATATAGAGTAGATATCATCTATGTCTATGTACTCAAGTAGATGTAATCAGTCCATCAATCTTGAAAAGAATACATCATATGTGCGAAGAAGTGGCTTATATACTGTAGGCAGGTGAGGTGCAGCAGTCGTGTTATTTTCAAGATTGATGGACTGATTACATCGACTCAAGGTTGAGGGACTGATTACCTCATTCTCCTCCTGTTCTTCACGATTCTCCTTTGTACTGACTGATGATGCCACTGTGTGCCGAAATGTTTCCTCACTAAAGATACCCAAGTGTTGCACATATGTCTAATTTATCAAGTCGAGGTTTTTTCAGTTTTCATTTTATTTTATACCTCATTTGAGCAGTAGAAGTCGCGTGGACGATGTTTCACAAGAAGTGCATATTACTGAGGTATATGCCTCTTATATGTACCTGAATTTTCCGTTTGCTTTGAGTAAGTCGACTGTTTTGCAATTTCAGTGTTTCTACGATTTGGAAGACGTGAGTCGGTGATCCACCCTTACTGCTCCACTGATGATGTGAAGCCATGTAGTTTCATTGTTTTTGTGATAGTTTCCCCTCTCATTAACAATATCTTGATAGAATGCAATCATGGTGATAAATATGTATACTTGATACCAGATGTAGATCTCATGTCTGAGGTGAATATGAAGGTTTTTGGGGATGTTAATGACATATCTAATAAAAGAGCAATGGCTTGGCATCACTTATTTTACTTGTTCCTAGATGAGCAAAGTGTTTGTTGACCAGTTTCTGTGCAACAGATTCACAAACAGTAGTGTGAGCGAGTCCATCTCCTCTGACAATTAAGTCTCTGCTAAATCACTCTGCTATGCCTTAAAGTTCCTGATTACTATAATTTCTAAGTTATTTTTGACTCTTAGAAGGTTGACATTTTTCATTTTGTCACATCTCTCGCATACATTACATAGGTTGAATGTACTAGAGGTTGTGGTGTCTTGAAAGATGTGGAAGTAGATGTCATTGGTTTTTGTAGTCTGTGACATGTTTGCATGCCAGGCCACTTTTGATATAGGTCAGCATCCCTATATATTTATTTCAAACATTGGAAAAGTAACATATTCTGACAATTTTGAAGGAATTTCGATCTTAGTTCTAGGAGTGTTTGGTTCTTGTAGACGAGACGTGTACTTCTTCAGCTTCATCATAGAGCAGAAAGTCGAACAGTTTGAAAGTTTTCGTAGTGATAATAATTCTGACAGGTAAAGAATAAAAAAAAAAATATCGCAACTGGGACATTACATAAATAATCCGAAGAAACTTATGACGACGTTTGGGTTCGACTTGGACTATAAACTAATAATTCTTTCCTAGAATGTGGATTTTGACAGCTTCTCTGCTATATCCATGAAGGTGTTAATTCAGTATATTTATCAAGGAAAGGTTTCTACGTGAGCCTTCAGAGCGCTTCGCAGGGCCTTTGAGGATGGCATTGATTTCATAAGAACATAAGAATGGAGAAACACTGCAGAAGGCCTACTGGCCCATACAAGGCAGGTCAGCTGTTTGGAGCCTTGATACATTTCCTAGTTCATCTCAGTTTTTCTAGAGACAGATTGCTGCTTTGGTGCAGTCGCTTAGGAAACCACAGAACAGTCACTGCAGTCTTCGCTTGTGGTATTGGTATAGTATTTTTTTGCACTGGCATGGTCAGCAGTGCTGGGCAATTTGGCACAGTCAATATGGTTGAGTTTTGTTGTGGATCAGCAGATCTGGGTGAAAATAAATGGTATAAAATACCGACACAATGGAAATATAAACACATATGCAGTTTAATGTGATCCTTTATTAACAACGTTTCGCCCACACAGTGGGTTTTTTCAAGTCACAAACAGATCTACCTGGGGTGGAAGGTACTTGAAAGAACCCACTGTGTGGGCGAAACGTTGTCAATAAATGATCACATTAAACTACATATGTGTTTATATTTCCAGATCTGGGTGAATCAGTCTGGGCTTGACGCCTCTTGAGAGGGTCAGGACTGCTCTTCACACTTAAGGTTCCTGGCCGTCACACTCTCTGTGTAACACCTAGGGCACTGTTTCTTGTCAGGCCGATGGCACTTCCTTGTGGAGTAGGGACCAGCACAATTACCACATGTTCCCTCCAAGCAGCATTACACAACAAGTCTAGATTGCGAGCGGATGAGACACATAAACACCGGGGGTAGAGGCCATGTTTCTATGTGACAGAGATGTTGTACCATTTATCCTTTTCTTCATAGCTTCTACAAGTTACCATATATTATACATTTTCTCCATTAATCCATTACACTTATCTATCTGTCCTTACAGTCACTGTGCCCTGGGTCATCAGCCACTTCTCAAAAACCATGAAACGGGAATACTTTCATATCGATTTACCTCTTTCCATACTTTATTTTCCCCTCCCTCAATTATCTCCACCTTCTTTAATTCCTTTTTCTTATCCTACTTTCTCTGTCCCCTGTACCTCTCATCCTCCATCCTTTCACTTCCCTTTTCTTATTTCTTTTCTTTTGAGCCACATTTATCAACATTTTCTTCACTTCTATCACTTGTTTCTTTATCATATTATCTCTGCCTCGGATACCTCTCCTCTATCCTCTTCACTTCTCACTCTGTATATTTATTATCTCTGTTGTTCATCTTCTCTGATGTATGTAGGAAAATCTCAAGTTTAATAATTTGAGAATTTAAAGTATATAATATTGGTTGTTTAAAGTCATAAGAAGAGAAAGTTACTATGAAGAGTGAATAATAGGGAAGTTTTGAAATAAAGATCTCCCATTTTGTTTACTATTCCAGATATAACATTTACTCACTGGCGTAAAACATTTCATTACACACGTCTTCAAACACTACCCGGTCACCTAACAGCGTAATATTAAATAATAACGAGAAAATTATTTTTCTTACGTGTTTTGAAGGAGCAGTTAGCATATAAGGGTAGAGTACAGCGAGTCATAAAACTTAACCAACATGCATAAAAATAATATAATTGGTTCTCCCTTAAACTCTCTTTTCGTACCTACCTCTCTATCTTCCTGCCTCCTCCCTTTCCTTTTTTATCCTCCATGTCTTCCTCCTGGAGCTTCACACCTCACCGCATACAACCTAGCTGCTTCTTTCCATGGGTTACTAAAGTTATATCCACTCCTGTTGTTGCATTTCTGATTAAATCATGAACCAATTTGTTTTTGTAATACATAGGTTTACCAGGGCTGTGTCCGTCTTGATGCGTGAGGGCAGGCTCGGGCCGGGGGACTGTGTCCATCTTGATGCGTGAGGGCAGGCTCGGGCCGGGGGACTGTGTCCATCTTGATGCGTGAGGGCAGGCTCGGGCCGGGGGACTGTGTCCGTCTTGATGCGTGAGGGCAGGCTCGGGCCGGGGGACTGTGTCCGTCTTGATGCGTGAGGGCAGGCTCGGGCCGGGGGACTGTGTCCGTCTTGATGCGTGAGGGCAGGCTCGGGCCGGGGGACTGTGTCCATCTTGATGCGTGAGGGCAGGCTCGGGCCGGGGGACTGTGTCCGTCTTGATGCGTGAGGGCAGGCTCGGGCCGGGGGATTTTGTCCGTCTTGATGCGTGAGGGCAGGCTCTGGCCGGGGGACTGTGTCCGTCTTGATGCATGAGGGTAGGCTCGGGCCGGGGGACTGTGTCCGTCTTGATGCGTGAGGGCAGGCTCGGGCCGGGGGACTGTGTCCGTCTTGATGCGTGAGGGCAGGCTCTGGCCGGGGGACTGTGTCCGTCTTGATGCGTGAGGGCAGGCTGGGACAAGAGGATTGATTAATATATTTATGTGAAGCACTATACCCGTGTGTGGATAATTCAGCACAAGGAGTGATGGAGGATCGAACAACCGTCTACCAACAGCGGCAGCCGGGGAAGAACTTGGGTGTAAATACCTATTTGAGTTTGTGATGAGTGACTGTAGCTTTCGGTCCTCCGTCTGAAAAGCAGACAGAAACTGGCATCTTCAACCGGTGACATAATTCCACAAAGGAAAGAAGCGAGTACCAATGCTAGTGTTACTTTTGTCATACCTTAGACAATCTCACGAAAAATTACAGCATTATTTTTTACCATGACTCATTGCTATGTGTTGGTCAATAAAGTTTCAGAAAAGGTTGGTCATCAGCAAGCCTCATGTTAAATATCTCCACTACGTGGCACAAGTCATTGGATAAATCCTAGATCAGCTATGTAGTTGCACTGGACATCACTGCTGCCTTACACCGGATATAGCACCTGGACTCTTGTTAAAACTACAAACATTAGGAATCTTTGGTTCCACTATCACCTAGGTGACTACGATCTGAAAGGGTAGCTCCTACGAGAGCATAATCTGTAAGCCAAAACACAGTATTCGATCCACTGGTAAGGAATATTTGCCTCAGGGTCCTACCCCAAGAGCTGTGCAGATAAAGGTACTCTAAGAATTTGTTATGCAAGAGACGAAATTCCAGCCACATTTAGGAACATCAATTACCAGCTTGTAGCTATATCACCCTGGTGAAAGAGAGAGTATATTACATTTGTTTTTGAGAAAACACAGCTTTATTATAGAAGTTGTGGCAATAATGAATGGAAGAGTCTTCGAGTCTCGCGACCCAGCTGATAACTCTTAGGAAGGGAAGGGAAGGAAGGGAAGGGAAGGAAGGGAAAGAATGTGCAAGAATGTGTACATTAAGTCATGAGACGAATCTTTCATGACAGGCACGAGGCTTATAGTACCCAGGTGAAACCTCATTCTTGTTTTACAGAACTGGCTACAAGAATTATATACTGCACATGTTTCCACTGAGTTGTGGTTCACATTCTTGGATGACTTGTCCCTTGCCATGTCCGTCTTCTAGACAAGGTAAAAATCGTGCATGGGAAATCATCTTCAATTATGAAAAAAAAAAATCGACGCCAGAGAGATGTGGGTAGCCTTATTAAATATACAAGGCCAATGTTGATAAGACACGTATACACAGTTCAAGACACTTATTTGGGCAAGTGGCTTCTTCAATCCTACTACAGAAACAACTAAGAAATAAGTTTATATATATAGTGGCGGGAGTCAGGTGGCAAGCTGTGAGATGGTAGAGGTAATAGGGACATTAGTAATACAGCTATGAGGGTCGGATTTGAGAGGTACTCTGGAGGTGGGAGGTACAGTGTCTGCACTCTGAAGGTGTGAAGATATATTGCAGCTTTTGAGCTGTAGTATCAACCCGCCTCTGGCAAGACAGTGATGGAGTGGCATAATAAAGTACTTCTTGGTGCTGACGTGATGTTAATGGCTGGCGTCATCTGATAGCAGTGTTTGGGTCGAGTAGTAAGCAGTTTCCTAAGACTTTGGAAGCGCTGCCGAAACCGGATTTACGTGGGATGGTACTGGTTACTAGTATCATGGCATCCTCTTAACATTTCCGATACCTTATCGGCATGTTCTAACAGGACAGTATAGGTATCGAATAACTAAAAAAACAGAAGAAATGGGGAATGGTATTGTTACTTTATCGTACACACAAGTTAAGATAATTTATCTAGTTCCGAAGTTTCTTAGAGGTAAACGAGGATCCTTATCTCGTTTATCTCGTTTATCTCACAGTCTCGTTCAACATACGGAAGAGCGAGAACGCTACCTTGAACCACCGGTCTTACATAAGGTCGTAATATCATTTGATAATGGTCCAGGACCGTCCGAAACTATGCCCAGTTTTATCACCTGACAACAAAACTGGTCTAGAATGCGACTCGAAAAAGCACTATATAAAACTGGCATAAAACTATAGAGAAAACGTATAGAATTTATTAATAGCAAGTGAAAGTAATAGTATAATAAAGAACAGTATAATGAAGAACAAAATAACAGAATAGTATAATAATTGAACAGTATAACAAAGAACCAAAGGCATAATACCGTGACTAGAGCAATACACAAATAACCAGCACATAGGGGAGAGCAGCTTATGATGACGTTTCGGTCCGAGTTGGACCCAAACGTCGCTGTAAGCTTCTCTCTCTCTCTTATGTGCGGGTTATTTGTGTGAAAAAAGCTTATTTCTTACTGAACAGAAACAGGTACTTGTAGAGGACAGAAAACCTCTTGGACGTCACAGTAGTTTTTAGAATAATATTGTAAATGTTCATTTTAAAACGGAAGACTCAGAAGGACAGTTAAAAAAAATAGAAAAAATAGCTGAGCATCGTATTGTACAGTCACCTGGACTTCGCATCAGCAACGCAGAAATTAAGAAAACTCAGTGATAAAAGAAAAAACCTGCAAAATCTTAGAAACACCACGAAACGGGTTCAATCCCCACCTGTTCCGTGGTTTGTTTGCAGTCGTGTCATTACGATGTCCTGAGAAACACGATTGTAAACAACTCACGGAACTGGTGGGATTTGAGCCCACGGCGAGGCTGTCCTAAAGCTAGCAAGCCAATGCGTTAACCATTGTACCATGCTGGTGTAAGGTTAGACCAACTAGGTGTATTTCTATACACATTGGAAGGATTTCCAAGTGATCAAAGTGGGGCCCATGCTAACCTTCCTATTGTGTATAGAGATGAATATTATTAAGCTGGAATGGTAATGGTTAACGCATTGTCCTGCATGTTCTAGGACTGGCTAGCCTTGGTTTCGAGTCCTGCCCATTCAGTGAAATAGTGGAACACTTCTTAAGAAGAATCGAGTATCCAGGAAGGAAGAAAGTTTACAGGAAGACAGAGAAACCTTCCTTCAGAAGAATCAGTAACCAGGAAAGAGGGAGAGAAACCTCCTATCAGAAGCTCCTTCCCAAAATTTATTACCCCACTGAAGATTGAAGGCGCTGGGATGCAACTGAATCTCTCCTCCCAGGCAATGAATTTTCTGACTCTCCTCTCCACTCCCACCCTGGCCAGGAAGGTGGAGCCTCACTCTCACTACCACCACCGCCGCCGTTAGCAGTAGCAGCAGCAGCAGCAGTAGCAGCAGCGACAGCAGCAGCAGCGGCAGCAGCTGGAGCAGCAGCAGCAGTAGCAGCAGGAGCGACAGCAGAGGACCAGGACTCACCGTCATGCAGCGGGTCGATGGTGTGGATCATCAGCTGCAGGAGGCCATGTCTGAACTTGGTGCCGGAGTGAAGAACCGGGGCGGAGGGGCGTCTCTCCCCGCGCTGGACCGGCTGCGGCCCTGCAGCGTGCTGTCGGAGAGACACAACACTATCGTTAATAATATCAAACACTCTCATCAATCTATTCTACGTGAAACACTTGCGATGGTGATACACAAGACGTTCTTTAAGGAAGAAACCCTCTGATGCTGGTGAAAAGTGCTCCTGATCCAAGGAACTAGAATCACCCCTCTCAATCCTGAATTAAACCTGTCTACTGCCTATTCAACCCCCCCAAATGTACTGAATGGCCCATACGGGTTTAGCGCATCCACTGTTTATTATCCTTAACATATAATAATAATTATAATAATGATAATAATAATAATAGTAATTATAATAATGATAATAATAATAATAGTTTCTTCTTCTCTTTTTTAGTAAATGTCTACAGGAGAAGGGGTTACTAGCCCATTGCTCCCGGCATTTTAGTCGCCTCATACGACACGCATGGCTTACGGAGGAAAGATTCTTTTCCACTTCCCCATGGACAATAGAAGAAATAAAGAAGAACAAGAGCTATTTAGAAAAGGGAGAAAAACCTAGATGTATGTATATATATATATGCATGTGCGTGTCTGTGAAGTGTGACCAAAGTGTAAGTAGGAGTAGCAAGATATCCCTGTTATCTAGCGTGTTTATGAGACAGAAAAAGAAACCAGCAATCCTACCATCATGCAAAACAGTTACAGGTTTCTGTTTCACAGTCATCTGGCAGGACGGTAGTACTTCCCTGGGTGGTTGCTGTCTACCAACCTACTACTAGTACAGTGCCTGCACTCTGAAGGAGGGGTGTTAATGTTGCAGTTTAAAAACTGTAGTGTAAAGCACCCTTCTGGCAAGACAGTGATGGAGTGAATGATGGTGAAAGTTTTTCTTTTTCGGGCCACCCTGCCTTGGTGGGAATCGGCCAGTGTGATAATAATAATAAAAATAATAATAGTAATAATAATAATAATAATAATAATAATAATAATAATAATAATAATAAATAAATGTAGCCAACACAAACCTTAATAATCTGTAACACTTTCACCTCAGAAAATATTTTTACATAAATCACACAAGGAGTCGAATACATTAGTAATATTACTGAGTATACCAATGTACTTCAGGTAATATTACTCAAGCCAGTGTACCCAAGGGTAATATTACTGAGTATACCAATGTACTTCATGTAACATGTACCCTCGGGTAACATTACTTAATAAGCTAGTGTGCCTAATAGATTATTGCTTAATAAACAAGTGTACTCTATGATAATATTCATAAATCAGCTACTGCCGCCTTCATCTAGAAATGAGCACTGGTGGTTGTGGCCTAACTCATCTCAGCTCATTACAGGCACCCTAAAAGCACGAAGACATGAATCGGATTATAAATATCAGAATAATCCGGGATAAGCCAAGCTATGTGGCTTATTTCCACTAGGGTAAAATTTTATGACTCCCTACGATAATAATCATGACCATAATTTTTAAAGCGGTGGACAGGTAAGCCAGTGGAAGGCTTCAGCTAGATGACCGAAAGCTCCAGCGGCGGATGATATGACTAAGACCCGCGTCAGGAAACACTTGTGCTGTTTCCTGACAAATCTTACCTAACCTAAGCTTATGATGCCGCCCTTAACACCAACCACTGGGGGCACTGACTGCTAGATAACAAGGGCAGGAGTTGTTAGGATATTTACCCATACCCATGTTGAAAATAGTATAAAACACAGACAAGCTGATGAGTTAGACACATGTGCAACAGTTGGGTTTTCTGGAGTTTATCTGGAGAGAGTTCCGGGGGTCAACGCCCCCGCGGCCCGGTCTGTGACCAGGCCTCCTTAGGTCAGTGTCCCAGGATGCGACCCACACCAGTCGACTAATACCCAGGTACCCATTTTACTGATGGGGAACATAGACAACAGGTGGAAAGAAACACGTCCAATGTTTCTACTCTGGCTGGGAATCGAACCCAGGCCCTCACCGTGTGAAGCGAGAGCGTTAACCACCAGGCCACCAGAGCCTGGTGTCTTTATCGTCGAAACGTTTCGCCAGAAGAAGCCTACTGCGTAGGCGGAACGTTTCAACAATGAAGATACCCAGGTGTTGCACATGTCTTACTCAACATCCAATACATTCAGCCTGGAACAGGGTTCAAGCCAGGTGCTTTCGGTTGTGACCCGAGCGCACTGTCAGTGACCTATGAGGCGCCATCAAAAAAAATCCCTCACCACCTCACACCACTACTCACCATCACACCCCCCAAACCCTCTCACTCTACCACACCTAATCCACCTCATTCCTTCTTTTATTATACTCACTCCTCCATTTCAACGTTTCTCCTCTCTCACTCCACCCACTCATTCTACCACACCTACTCTTCCACACACTCCAACAACACTGCACTCTCACTCTCCACCACACCAACTCTACCTGATCCACTCCAACACATCCAATCTCCACCATATCCCTCCATAGTATTACAGAGGGAAGGAGAGGGAGATGGGACAGGAGGAGGAAAATAATGATGGTTATGTGGAAGGGAAGAGTACAAGAAAGCGAGATACTAGTTTTTAGAAGCAAATTCTTAAACGTGTTTCTAATATATGCGGAAAGAAAAGACCGGATTATTGAAATAGGAGACAGCATACTTTACTGGAGTTGAAAATATTTTTTACAACAACAAATTATAATCTTCCAACGTAAGTCAACAGATTTTTGTTTAATCGCAAGTCTAACTTTTTCAGATTCTTTGTTTAATCACACTCCTAAGTTTCAGATTACCTTTGAATAAAAATTCTTTTCCGAATTCCTTAGGCTAACACAATCCGCTACGAATCTCTTACCAAAGACGAGCTCCAGTGGGATCCACGATGCATATCTTCTGAAACACGAACGTAACGAATCTTTTGAAAGACGAATGTCAACAAAATCCTCAGCAAATCCCTTTTCAAAGGCGAACGCCAACTAAACCCGCCTCTAAGATTTGTGAAAAACGCGGCGGGGCAAGACCTTTCCTGGGGCCTTCGACCTGAGACTCGCATGGCTGAGATCGGCAACGGATCTGGTGATAAATAAGTCCTGATGGTGGAAAAACCTCCACCCACACAGCGATAAAGAAGAGAAATAGGGCAGCCAGGAAGAGGTTAGAAATAAAAGCGAATGTGAGTGAGGAAAGGAGGCACAAGAGAAAAAGTCTCGAAGGTTGGTGAGAGAGAAATGGAAACAGGAAAAGGTTAGTATGAACCTTTTTCTCGTCACATCCAACCCCCATAGATTCTTTTCCATGCACTCTCGTCCCTCATGTTGGAATGGAAGGGGCAATGAGAAAATGGCTGGAAAAGAGGTGAAACAAAGGATAGGGGGATGGATAGAGGAGAGACAGGATATAGGGGGTAAAGCAAAGGGTAGGGGGCGCATACCCACATAACATTTGTACTATGTTAGTCTCCGGGAGATGCCCCTCCACTTTAGAACATTAAGAAAGAAACAGAGGCAGATGGAGTGATGGTGATGGGGAAGAAGGTGGAGGTTGGACACCGGTGGAGGACGGATGGTAAAGCAAATAATAAGTGGAGGGAAGAGATGAGGTGAGAGACTGGGGAGTTGGTATCAGATAAACAGTAGAGTTTGGTGGTGAAGAAAAAGAGAGGAAAGGAGTAAAGTAAGAAGGGGATGAGTGAAGGAGAAATACGAGATAAGAATATTGCTGGAGACGAAGTCAATGATGGGTGAAAATGATAAGAAAATGGGCCTGGTCAAGACCTGGGCCGCGGGGGCACTGACCCCCCTGGACACCCTCCAGGTAGAACACTGCGGTATACACAGATAATCTGCACATAAAAGAGAGAAGCTTACGACGACATTTCAGTCTGATTTGGAACAATGTGACTGTAAATGGTCCAAGTTGGACCGAAACGTCGTCATAAGTTCCTCTCTCCTATGTGTGAGTTATTTATGTATTGTTCCAGTCACGGTATTGTGCCTTTTCATTCTTCAACACTGCGGAGCTCATTTCTGTCCTCCAGAATGAAAGTCCTTCACGCTATCAAGCACACCACGAACCAGTATGCTATACAAACTGATTGTTACATAAACAGTGCTCGCACTTAGACGCAGCTTGGCATCTCCACATAATTTTAGTAAATCAAACTACATACGCAGTTATAAAAAAAATATGAAAGAGGCATGAGACAGTATATTACTAAATATAATGCACCACAATTAACCCTGTATTTAAGGAGGAAGTTAGAAACCACGGTCCTGTCAGTCTTGAATCAATATCAAAACGAGAGTGAGAGGAAAAGGGAAAAATGCCAGAAAGCAGCTCAGATGAAGAGGTGAGGAGAAGGACACAATGTTATATTTTATTAGAAGACATTTCGCCCACCAAGGATCATCAACTCTTATAGGGACAAATAAAACATATGGCTATTCAGTAGTCGAAGAAAGGTCTATGAATCGACGAGTTCAGCACTGTCTGAAGCGAGGAGAAGGTAAGGTCACCTGATAATGGCCGAGGTCTCAGGCGATGACTGTGTCGGCACAATCAACCTTGATAAAAGTTCATGATTGGTGAAAGATCCTGGGGATTGTGAAATGGCGTTTGGTTCTTTTGTCACGGTGGAACAAGCGTAGATCGTATTATTGGAGAGCTTTCAACAAACCCTAAATCAAGTTTACCATCGTTTCTGAAGATTATAATGTTCAGGGAAGGAATCTGTCAGTTATGGGTCTCATTCATGATAAACTTGCTTGAGGGTTCCACTGCGTTAATATTGTTGAGAAGGTTAGCACGGTCCAGGCGTCTAGGAGTGTTATTAATCAAAACTTTGCCTGGAGACATAAGCCATACCATGTCACCCTGGCTATGTGGCTAGCTGGTCCAGTGACTAACGCGACGGTCTGGAGTTTTGAGACTCTCTGACCGCGGGTTCAAATCCCGCCTGTGGTATGGTTTGTTTGCAATCGTGTCTGTGGAAAATACTGTATATATTTTCCAGAAATACAGTAGTTATTAAATGTAAATAGATGGCCATA